AATAAAATTAATGATGCCACTTAGATTGATGTTAAGCACTAGTGATGTTAAATAACATTATTTTTTGTTTATATATCAATTATTGACCTCGGAGTATTTTTCGTAGGCATCTTTGGTGGAGAAGTACAAAAGGCCGTTGCCAAAACAAAGGAATACGACACTGGATTCTAGCAGATACGAGGAAAGGCCTGCTCCTCTTGGAACCCTAAATGTGTCTCAAATATGTCCAATCATCCTGCTGCATCAAGGCAAAGTTGACAACCATGATGGTCCTATGGATATTCCTCAAATTGCCAAGCGGTTCAATGTCGATGGCTCGATGCTGTACAAGTTCAAAGGATCATCTGGTTTACACCACTGCCTCCTGAGGACAGTAGTAAAAGGAAAGACAACCAATGACCATAGTATTCATATCTGAGTTTTGCTTTACGAATGAAACAAAATATGTTATATAAATTTTTTATTTATTCAATGTTGGTAATTGTGTCGTTTTCGTAGAAATCGGGATAGTAATGTAGTCCTTGAACTATCAACACTGATTTTCTAGTTCTGTATAAGCTTATATCATTTGGTAGGAGGATTAGAGAATAAGGTCTGTCATGTTCGAGTTCGATGCAGCCTACCAAATGTATGTAGTGTTTATTTTAATTGAAATAAAGAGTCAATGTTGGTATCAACATGTACGAGATATTGAAATAATCGAGAATTCTTCTGTTCGGTCATTTTCCTTCTTGTTCATCGATATCTCAATTTCACACGAAGCTAACGATAATATTAGATTAAGAGATTCAAATAGAATTTGAAATTGTACATCTTGTCTCAAATGCACCAAGTAATTTCACTAGTGTCACAAGACTACAGTTGAATAAATTAGATTTCATTTGCTCATAAAGTACTCTAAACACTCAATTCAATATCAAGGCAATCGAAAACAAACATGGGGGAAAATTACAGTATGGGTCCCTAATCTTTTACTTTTTTTTGTAAATTTTACCCCAACTTTCAATTTGTGTCATCAAAGATCCCTAACCTTTCATAAATTAACAACTGGAGTCTATTTGGATGGATATCATTCATTTGACCGTTAGTTGATTAGAATAGTAAAATTTTATTAAATTTTAAAAGGGAAATAGTAACTTTTACAAATTTATTATTATTTTTTTTCAAATTTTATTAAATTTTAAAAGGGAAATAGTAACTTTACAAATTTATTATTATTATTTTTTTAAAAAACCTAAGTATCTCCTCCAATAACCACCCCGACCCAAATCATCATAGCCACTGGCACCATCACCCAATGCCGGCACCACCGTCAATACCAACGCTAACACTACCCAACACCACCCAACGTTGCCGCCTCAAGCTCATACACAAAGATAAACACAATCAATTTTTGACCACCTCTTCATCTTCTCCACCTGCCAAAAAGGTGACAGTGGGTTTGGAATCCCCAAACTTCCCTAAATTTGAAAATCATGAAACCCAATCACTACCGGCACCGTCCACCGCTTACCCAAATATCAAACAGCATTTACATGTTTACAGGTGGTCATCTGCACCCCCCCCCCCCAACACCCACACACAACCCCAACAAATAAATAAATTTTAAAAATAGTAGAAAATAGAAAATAAAATAAAGGATCGAGCGTACTTAATTCCATAAGACAGATCCAATACCTCTGGCTCCGCCTATGAAGTTAAAATTGTTCTTAGAAGATCAAATGGATATGATCCAATGGTGGCTGCACAGCCTGCTAATGCTTTACTAACATAAGAAAGATATGGACTTAAATTGTTATGATCTTCTGCACTAAAGAAAACAATCAACAAATAGCATGTCAGAAACTGAAAGGCAAAAGGTAAGGAAGTAGATATTCATAAGAGTTTTATACATTTCATCTTCAGAATAGTCTTACACAAATAAGTCCAGGGTAAACATGACAAAAAGCTCAACAAAAAGATAGAATGTTTGCTAGAACAAGAAAACCAAGCAAAGTTTTTCCAACAAGAAGAAAAAACCAATATGGTGTTGCTTTCCACCGAAACAATATAATACCGAACATGTTCAATGACTGAAAGTGGAAGAATTAATTCACTAGGTGTAGCATTTAGCCACATCAAACTGCATCCAGGAGAGCAGAAACTTTAGAACAAACCTGACTTGGAAGAACCAGAAGCAAATGTCTTGATCTTGTGCGACACCATAAATTGCATTGCCGTATATGGCATAACCATAAGCAGGGCCGGTACATTACCACGCCAAAAGCCCTGTTACAAATATGAAGTTAGGTGTTGTATCCCATATTATATATGGATAATAGATATCATCAAATAGTTTGGAAACATAATCAAATAAATATATTCATAATAAACAAATACCGGTAAGCCTTCCTCTCTAAAGATCTCCTTGGTTGCTTGCAGCATACCAGTATATTTTGATGGACCATATGCATTTCGCTGAAGCAAAGTCCAGTGTGTAGTGGATTCCAATTGAACCTGCCCATATATACCTTTCAGATAAATTCTCCATGGGCCCACACCTCCATGATATACATAACTATAAAGAGTCATTTCAGGCAAGTCGGACACGTAGAGATACTTAACAAATTACTTCTTTTATTCCATATTAGTAAGAAACACGTGCAATGCACGTGCCATGATGTGTTGACTACGTAATAGCGTAGGTATTAAAAAAAATACTTATGTCAAACATTAGTTACATAAAATTTTCTTATAAATTGTTAAACGTTTTGAGGCAACATTAAATGTGGAGATGAAAAAACATCACACCCACAGTTATCGAAGAAATCGAGGCTCGCCTTCCACCACACCCTCCAGTTATCGA